TAAGAATTTCTGAAGTTGAAGTAAACTCTGACGTTGATTCTGACTCTGATAGTGATTCTGACTCTGGAGAAGACTCAGAAGATGAAGGTGACTCTGATGATCCAGACTCTTATGGTAATCCAGATTCTGGTGGAAATTCAGACTCTGAAGATGGCCAAGACTCTGAAAATATGCTAGATCTTGAAGATGGTCAAAGCTCTAGAGGAAGTCAACCATCTGAAGCTGGAAACTCTGAAGCTCAAGACTCTGAACAAGTTCAGAGACCACAAAGAATCAGAAGCGTTCCTAGAAGATTTGCAGAATTTGACATGCTGCAAGACACTGAAGTAGACTCTGAAGGAGAAGTTATTAAGTGTGCCATGTTAGTAGACTTTGAATCTATAAGTACAGAGGAGGCTCTTAAGCAGAAGCTCTGGCTGAAGGCTATGAAAGAAGAACTTGATGCTATAGAGAGAAACAAGACTTGGAAGCTGACAGAACTTCCAAAAGACAAGAAAGCCATCAGCGTCAGATGGGTTTTCAAGCAGAAGTTAAAGCCAGATGGCTCAATTGGCAAACATAAAGCAAGGTTGGTAGCCAGAGGATTTCTACAAAAACCTGGACTGGATTACTCTGAAGTGTTTGCACCTGTAGCAAGACATGAAACAATCAGAATGGTGATTGCAATAGCTGCTACAGGAATTGGCCTCTGATGCATTTAGATGTAAAATCTGCATTTCTGAACGGTCCATTAGAAGAAGAAGTTTACGTGTCACAACCTCCTGGATTTGTGAAAAAGAATCAGGAAGGGATGGTGTACAGATTATACAAAGCTCTATATGGATTGAAACAAGCCCCCAGAGCTTGGAATCAGAAGATTGATTCATTTTTCAAGAAGCAAGGCTTTCAGAAATGTGAGATGGAGTACGGTGTCTATGTTCAGCATACTTCTGAAGGCAATATGACTCTGGTATGTTTATATGTTGATGATATACTGCTGACTGGAAGTTCTGAACAGGAGATAACCAAGTTCAAGAAGGTTCTAATGAATGAATTTGAAATGACTGATCTAGGCAAAATGACATACTTTCTAGGGATGGAGTTCAGATATTCTGAGAAAGGTATCATTTTGCATCAGCTCAAGTATGAATTAGAACTTCTGAAGAGATTTGATCTGAAGAATTGTAAGATGGCTGTCACACCTTCTGATACAAATCAGAAACTGGATTCAGACTCTGAAGGAAAGGATGTGGACGCTACAACCTTCAAACAGTTGGTTGGTTCTCTGAGGTATCTGTGCAATACCAGACCTGATATCTGCTACTCAGTTGGGATGGTTAGTAGGTTCATGAGTAAACCTAAGTGGTCCCATTACCAAGCTGCTGTCAGGATTCTGAGGTATATCAAAGGAACTCTGAAGTATGGAGTGTTATTTCCCTCTGGAGCAAATAATGAGTCAGAACTTCTGAGTTATTCAGACTCTAATTGGTGTGGAGATAGAGTTGACAGAAGAAGTACATCTGGGTACTTGTTCAAATTTCTGGGAGGTTCCATTTCTTGGTGTTCCAAGAAGCAACCTGTTGTGGCGTTGTCAACCTGTGAAGCTGAATACATTGCAGGTGCTGTTACTGCATGCCAAGCTGTGTGGATTCTGAATCTGTTGCAGGATCTGAAGATTAAAGTAGACAAACCTCTGAAGTTGATGATTGACAACAAGTCTGCAATCAATCTTGCCAGAAACCCAGTGTTGCATGGGAGAAGCAAGCATATTGAGACCAAGTATCATTTTCTGAGACATCAAGTTCAGAGTGGAGTGTTAGAAGTTGTACACTGCAGCACTCAGAAGCAGTTGGCAGATGTTCTGACGAAAGCTATCAAGACTGATCAATTTCTCAGACTAAGGGATGGAATTGGTGTTACAAGTTTTTGATGGAATATGAATTAAGGGATGGTATTAGAATATTAATAGTAATTCATATTTATTTAGTTGTACTATTTTCTTAGCCCCTAAGTTTGTTAGAGGGTATTTTAGTATTTTATTTTATTCTAGTAACCCTAGTTTTTAGCTTATAAATAGGGTTGCAATCATTGTAACTTTTATCATGTTTTGTAGCCGTCATTCTTAATAGAATATTTCCTTTGTTCATCATTTATTTACCTTTGTACCAACAATGAGCTTTTTAACAATTACCCATTACAAACTAACTTAGGGTACAAGCTAACTTAAACAATTGAACTTACAAGCAAGACCCAATTCAACATGCTAACAAACCTAGCAATATTGACTAATGCATGTTAGAACAAACTTTGACTACAACACGTATTACTCGCGAACAGACTTCGACCATACTAGAGTTTGATCCAATATTTCACATAATATAATGAAATTTGATTCAGTTTACAAAATATAAACCACAAACTGAACTAAACCGCATAGTTTTGTTAAAATATGACCCAAATACATATGAAGTAAATACAATTTTTTATGATTTTCAATTTAATTTGGTTCAGTTTACAGTTTTGTATTAGACTGTTTGGTTTTTAACACCCCTAAATATAATGAATACTTTTCTAATTTATAAAATAATTTGTATTAAAGAAAAAAAAAATGGCGCATTGAAATAATTGAAATTTACGTAGTTTGAAGGAGAATGGTGGATTAAAATTTAAATTTGCAAGAGATTTAAATGTGGTTAGGTTAACCAACCAAGTGTTCATACTTCTCACTATTTTGACATTTTAAAAAGTGATTGAAGATTGATCTAGTGATAGAGGGTTGACTCTTGAGAATGTACTATTCTCATTGATCCTCTTACAATTTGTTCTAGCTTTTAACAGGATCATCAATGATGAAATTTAGCAGTTTTGTATTTTCATTTTGTAATGCTGAATTAATATTTTATTTAAAAAAATCACCAATGTTTGTCTAAGTTTTATTTTTCATCTTTGCCTACTCTCAAAAAGTCTTAATTGTTTATGTTAAAAAAAGAGTTTTACTTAACAATATAAAAAACTAAATTACAATGTACAGTCCTCGAAAAGTAACAAAAAAAAATTAAGTCAAACAACGTCATCCAATTTTGTTTTTTATATAAAAAATAGTAAAGTATTAAAATTAAACGGTAAAGATAATGTTATTTTAAAAAGATGTAAATAGTAGTAATTGTAAAGAATGATGGAAAGTGTCGGCATTTATAAGAAGAACAAAGAATATTCTCTTAACCTTTGCTATACAACAAGTCACTCGCAATTCATTAGAAGTTAGAATTCTTATTTTTTATTGCCTTTTAAAAGTTGTAATAAAATTAATAAATTAATTTCTTATAATAAATATTTACCTTTTTAATATAATATTTTAAATGATTTATTTTAAAAATATATTTTATTTTTAATTTTTTAAAAATTTAACAAAAAATAATTAATAATTAATAAACTGATTTATTACATATAATTATGAATATATTAGTAATAATTTACAAGTTCATATCTGACAACTTGTTTTTTATAAATAAACTTGGAAAAAATATAAATTAATTAATTTTATATATATATATATATATATATATATATATATATATATATATATATATATATATATATATATATATATATATATATATATATATATAGTATTCAATCATAAAATTAACAGTAAAATGAACTAATGATATAAAAAATATAATTTATTATTATTTAATAAAAATATTAAAATCAAAGATAAAATAATAAATTATAAACTTTAAATTAAAATTAGTTTATTAAAATTTTTTAAATAAATATATATTAATTATATACTTGTGAGAAAATAATATTAATGAATTAATTATTTTATAAGTATATAAATTTATAAATTACTATTCACTCCAATCGTATCTATAATTATTTATAAAATATAATTTATTTTTTAAATTTAATGAATAATTAAAGTATTTGTTATGAAAATAGATTAGAGGCACCAATTACTTAATAATTCTAAAAAATAAAATTTCATTTATAACAGGATAAGAGGGGGATAACATATCCTTTTTTCCCACTATTTTAACAAGTATTTTATTTTTAAATATTAAATAATTAATATATTTGATTTTAAAAATAAATAAATTTGTTTATAATAGTAATCTATAAAGAAGAACACTGCAAATTGAAGCGAAAGAAACGTTTAACCTAAAAGAAATAAAATTGATAGATGAAATTTCATGTGTAATAATGAACTAATTATAATTTTAACACGATAGCTAATGATTCCACCACCGAACCATTAAGACAGCGAGTCACCAAACTAGAAAATTCCCCTTTGACTCCACTTCGTTTCCTCTCACCTCATTGGTCCGTCACGTGTCATCGCTCACTGTATCGTTTTCTCACTAACATAACATATCACCCCTTTTTTGTGTGACTTCAAAGCGAACGAAACACACCAAATAACGCTCTTCCAATTTACAACAATTCATTCGCAATTTTTTCTCTCCTTTCTCTCTTTTCCTTCCAATTTTCTCTCTCGATTCCCATTTCCTTCCTCTCTTTTCCTTCCAATTTTCTCCCTCAATTCCCATTTCCTTTCCTAGATACAAATCACTGAGAAAATCTCTAAACCGCTTTTTCCCTCTTCCTCACACACAAACACACTCTTGCGCTCAAATCTCAATTCAGATTCTCCCAATCACGTTTCGCTAGCTCCAGATCAGAAACCGAGTTTCCGTCAATGCTCGGTTTGGACTCGATCTAGGTTTTCTCTTCCTTCCTCAAATCTCAATTTCTGTATTTTACTCCTTCTCATTTTTTGTCGGTGATTTTTTCTTCGTTTCTTCGCAAGATCTCAGCTCTTATGTTATTTGGTTTTCTACTACTTTCACTAATCGTTGAAGATCTCTATTTTCTTTTCGAATTTCTGTTTATTTTTGTTTTTTAAATAATTTTTAGCTGTTTTTATTTTGTTTAATTATGGATGATTTAGTATATTTGTTGATTGAATTGCAGATCGTGTTCTTCAACCTATTATAGTGTGGGGTTGGGGGATACAGATGAATAACGGGATGATAGAATGCAGTGTTTGCCATTCCAAGTTGGTATCGCCCGCCAGCAAAACTGTATCGAGGGCTTATGATCGGCACAAAAGTAGGTTAACATCCAAACAACGTGTACTCAACATCTTGTTGGTTGGTGGTGATTGTATGTTAGTTGGTTTCCAGGTGATTCTTATATATCTTGATTCATATTTCGCTATATGATATTACTGGATTCAAAGGGTTATCTTGCATAGTTGGGAATCAATTTAGATGTCACTTCTAACGTAATGTCTAGTTAACAGAGGGATTACTTGCAATTTAAAGGGTTCACGACTTCAAGTCTATAGGAAAATAAATTGAAGGGTTGGCTTAGTGGTAAAGGCTTGAGGTCCTAAGAGTGTGTGTCCCATGTTTGAATCCAGCTAGCTGCTAATAATCCTTGTGTTGGGTCCGTCAATCAAGAGCTTTGCTCTGGATTGAAACGGGACCCGTTAGTGGACGGTGGGATTGGTCCACTTGGATTATGGATCGCAAGGTGGGATACTAAGATTTAAAAAAAATAATTGAGATGTAACATATATATTCTACTATCTTAAAAAAAGTTGATTTAATGGCATATGTGATTTCTTTGACTTGCAGATCTAAACTTCTGCATCTGGAAATTAAATAAGCCAATACTTTATTGTAGATTATAAACTCCTATGGTGTTGATATGGTATTTCATGCCAAGCCTTTATGCGTGTTGTTTAGTGGCTGACATATACTATTTCATTCTTTTGGCAGCCTATCCTAGTCTATATGTCCAAGGTGGATGGGAAATTCAATTTTAGCCCAATTAGTGTTAATTTTTTGACAGAGATCACGAAGGTTTTCTTTGCTATTGTTATGCTTCTTATCCAGGTAAATACCACTTTTCCTTCTGTATATTCAAATTAAACTGTCTTTTCTATCACATATTTAGAACATCTGTCAAGTGGAAGTAGATTATGAAGGAAACACGTGCACATATTTGAAGCATGTCATTTATTAGTTAATCAATTGGGACTTTAAGAGCAGTTACTGCTTTTCTTCTGTGGTTGTAGCAATATATGCCCTTAATTTCCATGGTCAAACGTAATGAAACATTAGAATTTATAACCCAAAAATAGTTTTTTGTTGGTTTGCAATCATCCTTGTCCGATTTACTTAATAGATCTTTCACAATAGATTAGAATTGCTCTATAGTGAATGTCAGGGTATGGATCTGTCGTCTATCTTTGCAAGCAAATGGAAACAAAACTGAAATTTGAATGTCTAGGGTTTGTTTTTTTAATCGTTTTTACTTCCATATCCATACTATTAACATTAAGAAAAGTATAAAACGCAGTTTGGTTATCCACGTCGCACCATGTGGCGGTGTCTCCAACTATCTTTTATATAAGAGAGGAAACCCTCAATATCTGTTAATTTTCTTGCACCCATTGTGATGACAGAAAAGTAGGCGTACTGAAGACATGTTAAGAAAATAGTTACAAGCATTATGTAGACAAAAACAGACATGGATGGCTGGTTAATTGAAAGAAAGTATATTAGTTGTAGAGCTAAATTGGCAGAAGGTTTTTTGCTCAGGGCTCCTTAGGCATGCATTTGCTTATGAACTCATCATTATTCTTATTACTAGCTTTACATCCATAAAAAGGAGGCTTAGCCTCAACCTATTAGCATTGGAAAAAATAGAATCCTTACAAAATCATAAAGCTATAGGCTTCTCATTGTTACTAAACTAGCGAAGAATACCTGGGCACCAAAATAAGAGTCATTAAGATATGAGTAGCACAAATCTCAAGCACACACCCAGGACTTGAACATGGACTGCAAAGATACTGAAAATCCCTAGAGATTGAAAAGATAACTTAACCTTTGCAGCATTCTTTAGCTGATAGTATAATGCTATAGGATTCAGATCTGGAAATCTTTATGGAGTGGTATATCTTGCCATTTATCTAAGGTTTGATTGCCTGTGCAGGCTAGGAATCAAAAAGTTGGGGAGAAGCCTCTTCTCTCAATTTCTTCACTCACGCAGGTACTATGATTTATTTATAATATTAATTTTGTACGAATTGACAGATATGTGGAGACCATATATCACATAGTTTTTCTGATATAGGATATCTCTTCACTGTCTTTGATTTGTGGTAGGTATAGGTGCCCTACTTCTTGGGACTGGTTAAATTATTTATCCAATTGTTTATTCTTACTCTTCATCTTAGTTACCTGATATTGATTACTGACTTAGTAACAATGCTGTTAATTGTGGATCGCGAAAAATAGGGGTTGTTCAAATTGTGCAATGCTACAAAGCTATGGCTTCGCAATAGCTATAGCAGCTATTTGACAGCACATTATACTAAATAGGTTATTGTGGCGGAACAGTAATGACTTGTTCAAATTCCTCTATGCTATAGCCTCTATTTGACAACACTGCCGGATAAGCTGTGCTCTATTAGAATCATATGTATAATGAATACGAGAGAGTGTCTTTTTTTTCTTCAAATTTTCTCGTGTATTTTCTTTTTATGTATATATTTGAAATTGAACATTTCTTGAACAATAAATTCAAGATTTTCTCGGTACCTTCTTGATGTTCATCCTCAATGTGGTAATTTGTCTCTTGTAGGCAGCCCGCAACAATGTCCTTCTTGCCGTTCCAGCATTTTTGTATGCTATAAACAACTATCTGAAGTTTGTCATGCAGGTATATAAAGTTATTATATTGTATATGCCATATATATGATTTTTGGCTAGAATAAGAATGCTAGTCTTTCTTCTATGTTTGATATGCACCTATAGAGTCAAGAATCGGCAACTTGTTTTTCAGTCGAGTTTAGGTAGTACATATTTGTATCTCTCATATAGGTAGATGTAGCCCACATATAGGTAGTACATATTTGTGTCCAGTGCCTGTGTTGTGGGTTTAATTTTCCATATTAGTAATTAAATGTTCTAGAAGCAAAATGAATTTTTCATTGCTTGTTAGAGTATTAGTTGTTACTTTTTTAGGACTTAAGAGTCTTATTTTATTGATAATCTTATAGTGCTAGCTTTGTGTTAGTAATACTACACAAGGATTTGGCATTGGTTGTTACTTATGATGCACCTACCTTTTCTCTTAATTTTCCATCTAATTTCAGCGTGGCTCATATTACAAACTGATGAATTATTGTGTTGCTTCTGCATCCATATGATACCTAATATTTACTTGGTTGTGTCTTAATGATAACTTAACGGTTGATTTTACATTTCATGCAGCTTTATTTTAATCCTGCTACTGTGAAGATGTTAAGTAATTTGAAGGTAATTTCTCATTCACCGTGCTGTATGATTGATTTCTATATTTTTGCCAGCCAAATAACGACTTGCTTAAGAATTATATATGATATATCTTGTGATAGCTGATGGGTGCTTCTTAAATTTTGAGTCATTGCTTTCAACCAAAATTTTCTTTTCACTTCATTTCAAGAAATTCTTTTACTCTCTTCTCTCCATTATATTTTACTCTTTTAAGCTGTTTTCTGTCAGATTTTTGAGACAATTGAAAATACTCTTCTCTTGATAGTTAGCTGAAGTTGAACATGTTTTTAATGGTTGGCTGTTGACTGTGCCTGTTTCAGGTGTTAGTAATCGCACTTTTGTTAAAGGTGGTTATGAAGCGCAGGTTTTCTATCATTCAGGTCAGTGCATAAGATCTATCATGTCTGTAGGATATAGCGATTTTAGAGATTTCCTTGCCATTATTTGGCTCTGTACTACAGAGTTTAACAAGTTGAAATCCTCACATAAATCTAAATGGCTTCTATTCTTTTTATGTAGCTGGAAAATTGATTTTTTTCTTCGTTTTTACAGTGGGAAGCTCTTGCTCTCTTGCTTATTGGTATAAGTGTTAATCAGCTACGATCTTTACCCGAGGGAACTACAGCTTTGGGTCTTCCTGTCACAATGGGTGCATATGTCTATACGTTTATTTTTGTAAGTGATGTTTGTTATTTGTTCCTTCGGTATATTGATTATTATTATGCAATCAGTGCATTTTTCATCTATTAGGATTCTTTGTTATTTGTTGAACTTCAACTTTGGAATTATTTTTTCAGGTCACGGTTCCATCGATGGCCTCTGTTTATAATGAGTATGCTTTGAAGAGCCAATATGATACAAGTATATATCTACAGGTGAACTATGCCTTTTAATGTATATTGATCAGCAGCTTAATTAGTGTCCAGTTTTTGCCCATGTGTGAAGACACACTCTTACATTGTATACAAATTGAAATGTATTATAGTTTATATTTGAAATATAACTTTGATCACTTTGTATTCGAAAAGAAACTAACATGATTTAATTGTAATGGATAGTACTTATAGACATAAAGTAATAATGATGCTTGATGACCGAAACAAACTAGAAGAATCCTCTTGATATCATTGAAGTCAACTGTAAAGTAAAAAAATAAAATGGAAAGTGTCAAACTGCACTTTAGTGGTGCCAGTCTGCTTAGAGGATACTTTAAACTGCTTTAATATTTATATTTTAGATTTTTATTATCTATTTCTTGATTTGCAGAATTTATTCTTGTATGGGTATGGAGCCATGTTCAATTTTCTTGGAATAGTCGTGTCGGCTATTGTCAAAGGTAAGGCAATGAATCTCTTAAAATTTTAACTCTTGAATTTAAATTTTAAATCATTTAAGTGCCAGTTGAAATTCTAGCGAGCAAATCATACATAAATTCAGACAGCACTTGGGATTCGTCTCACAAATTTATTAACAGGGCGAGCAAAATCAGGAATTTGATACACACTTATGTCAACAAATTCAGATTATGATACACACATATAAGCGTTGGGCATAATTCACCTTGTTGATTTTCTAATTCAAAATAGATCTACATAAATGAAAATGTGACGTGAATGATTCTGCGCTCTTGGGACATTGTATTTTATTCAAGTGTTTGTCATATATCATTGTGTTTTCGTAGCAAGGCAGCAAAGAGTCTTTTCTATACACACATCTTCAAAGGACTCGTATAAACCTTTTTTATTAGTTTAGTTGTTGATGGTTTATTCTATTTGTTGATTCTATCAACATTTGTACACTTGAAATATCTATTGATAGGAAGTTCTGTAATGCTTTTCAGTTTTAACCCAAGGTATATATAGATTTACTTTTTCTGATGCTCGAACCATGAATGTTAAAAAATGCTGTTTCAAATGTTCCAGGTCCTAGCAGCTTTGACATCCTAGAAGGCCATTCAAAAGCCACTATGCTATTGATTGCAAACAATGCTGCCCAAGGGATATTATCCTCTTTCTTCTTCAAATATGCAGGTCAATAATTCAGATTTACTTATTTTTTCCATTGCATTGCCTTCTATTTTGTAGATGGTCTTGTTATTTACCCATTCTCTCAAAAACATATACTTAATATGTTGCAGATACAATTTTGAAGAAGTACTCATCAACAGTTGCAACAATCTTTACTGGCATAGCATCTGCAGTACTATTTGGACATAAACTAACAATGAACTTTCTTATTGGGATTTCTATTGTATTCATCTCAATGCACCAGGTAAATAGAATTTGAAAGTTTCTAGTTGATAATAGAAACTGAAAACTAAGCCGCTTGTTTTTCCTTTGAGTGGGGAGCAATTTAGTCAATACCCTTTTTTATAACACCATGCACATTTCCTCTTCAGTTCTTTTCACCATTGGCCAAAGTCAGAGATGAACAAAATGGTGTGCTGGAACTGCCAGAGGTTCAGGATAAACAAAGGTGCGAACTAATTGCTTACTAATCTCATTTTTGTTTTCTATTTTGTTTGTGGAAAATGTTATCATATGCAAGGGCATCTACTTAATTTTGAGCCCTCCAAAATTTATGGTTTATATATTTGATAGCAGGACTTTATAAAAAATTGACTAACCACATGCTCGTTCTGGGGAGAAAGAAAAAAAAACAATTCATTTACAGAATTGGTGTTTCTGAAAATTTTAGTTGTTGGATAATTTGTATACGGCCATATGACTTGAACACTTCTAAAAGGTTCCCTTGTTCCTTTTCAATAACAAATGCTTGTGTTTATTTCAGGTCAAAGGACGCATTTATAAATATGGCAGCGGGAGCAAATGAAGAGGTAGGGACTGTCTCATATATTGTTTTATTTTTTTAGTGTCTCTTTTGCATTCAACTGATTGCTTTTGTATTTGTTGTTAATATGCGCATTTCCAGGCCACTCATCGAGTGGGACATGATGAGAGACAGCCACTTCTCCCCACCTAGATTAACCTATTGTATGTTCTTTTCTTCCTTTCTCCATTTTAATTATAATCGTCTTTACGAAATTCTGGTTAATTTACACGGAACAGCTTTTAGTATCATGCTTTTCTAATCGAATACCCTACTTTTATGACCCATTTTGTACCTTATAAGTAATCCACTCGTTTTCACGTGTCCATATCATTGCAGGAATTTTGAAAGAATGTTTTTTTTGGTGATATCTGATAGCTATGGTCCCACACAGTTTAAAGTCATAATAAACTAAAAGATTTTGCTGCCTTTCTTGCTTAGCTTTCCGCAGAAAGTATTTGTCTAGTGGTTCCATAAATTCAGACATGAATTATCGGCTTCGTGAGGTGGTGAACAAGCCAATGCTTTCCGTTGCTGAAGATTTTGATAGAGCATAGCAAATCGATTCGCAAGAGCTTTTGGCATATCAATGTGGATTTACCTGTACTTCATTTATTCTTTAAATCGTGGACATTCGATTCCTCTTTATATTTGTTTTTCTGATATATTTACTTCAACCCAATTCTATCTATAGTGTTATTCTTTACATTTATTACGCCGTTCTTTCTATATTGTGATATTTAAGGGTTGATACAGATCATGAGGATTCCGTTCTTGCATGCATACAAAGCAATGGAGGACGATATTTGTATATGTTTTTATATTGCTAACTGATATACTTTTGTGTCTCCTTCATATATTTTACCCATCCATTATATAATGTTAATATATTGATAACTATTTTGATATGATAGGGGGAGGGATAAATCATTTTGAAAACATATGGATCTATTTATTTTGTGAATATATTGCGTTTCCTTTTTCTAAAATATGTTCACTTTAGCTTGCAACTAGTTAGAAAGCATGTGCAAGGCATTGGGATGCACAGGTTTTTAATATTTTATTTATGAAAAATACATTAATTTATATTTATATTAGTACTTATTCCCTTTGTAATGAAATATATTTTAAAAAAAGATTCACAATTATTAAGAAAACAGATAGTTATTTGGAGTCTTACATTTTGTATTTTGTATTTGTAATAGAATCAGTTTCATAGGAAGATATGAAAATAATTCCAATTGGTGTTTGGTAATTAAAGAAATTGAAACAAAATTAATTCAATGCATTTTATATTGAAAAGATGAATTTTTAAAGCAATAATTAAATAGAATAAATTATTTTTTTCATATTTTATATATATATATATATATATATATATATATATATATATATATATATATATATATATATATATAAGATTTTGCTACCATATAGGTGTGTTATACTAAAACATTCTAAAAAGTAAGTGGCTGTAAATTAGGGATTTGGATCCTCCCCTTTTAAAAATTAGAAACATGAGAGATGACATCATATATAAAAAAGGAGAGCATTCAAATCCGTAAATTAGTATCTGTTTTAGGCATTTTCTATAATATATCTATTTATTTTATAAAAAGAGTGTGTTAGTAATTAATAATTAAAAATTTATTAAATATATCTTAAGGTGCATGTTGTTAAAACATATTTTTATAAAAATATGTGGATGTATCGTAACAATATATATATATATATATATATATATATATATATATATATATATATATATATATATATATATATATATATATATATATATATATATATATATATATATATATATATATATATATATATATATATATATATATATATATATATATATATAACTTTGTATTAATTTAAAAAAAAAAAACGAAATGATTGTTAGGATTCAGTCCATCAAGACAAAAAACAAAGAAAAACTGATTACATTATCGACATTTAAATTTTTTGCCAACTATCTTTTATAAACTATCATATCAATAATATTATCCACTATTTTGATATTATCTATACTATACTATTGTTTGATATTATCTATATTATAGTCAAAATATTTATCATTACCGTACCGTTAATACCCATAAATCATCTCCACTGTGGCAAACTTAAGGATGAATGCCTTCCACCTTTTCCCCCTGCCATATGACACAATCCAATTCAATTCATTATACCGGTCCTTAAGATCATGAGCAACTTGAATCCACTCTAGATTTTTTTTTCTAAACAGCTTTGGATTCTATGCACCCATAAAAATGGTGTCAATGGTTTTCTCATGGGAACAAAAACAACTATCAAACCGGCTCAATTTCAATTTAGTAGGAGTCTTCCATGACATGCTGGCCATAATATCATCACTGCTGGAGGTCTAGCAGTAGCAGTGTTATCATATAATAAATAGCTCCAACTGACTTTGTCTTTATCAACATTTTTCATTTTTAAATTTTTTTTGACAAAATATATATATATATTTTTAATCTTTTAACTTTATCTCAGAATCCATTTTAATACTTTAAATTTTAAAATTTTTAATGTAGTCTATTATATCTTCAAACAATTTCATTTAAGTTTTTTCCGTCCAATTTTTCAAACAGCGTCTATTTTTACACGTGTGACATCTGTTCATACGCATGAATCTGATGTGGCAATTGTTTATATATGGGTGGCATCTGCTCATCATCAAAGTCATCAAAAATTCAAAAAAAAATTCTAAAATTTTGCCTTAAACTAGGATTCAAATCAAAGTCACCTTGGTTGAAGAAACAACTAGACCACTTAATATTTGATGATTTTATTTACAACAGGATCAGGTTGAAAAAAAGCGAAGAGAGAGTTAGCAGAAAGCATCCAAAAGGGAGTAGAATTCATAAAAAAAAATAACTCAGTTAAGACATTGTTTTGTATTGTCTCTTAACTATGTATATAAAGAGCTTGTGTAATAATTTCTTCTGTTAGTAGTATATCTTTCTTACTAATAGTACTCTAAATTTTTGGTGTTGTCCATTGCTTATGGATGTTCGTATTTTGCTTACTGTGATAATTCAAGAAGAAGAATTATTTATCATCTCTTTTTGAAGTTGAATTACTTATATTTTCTCCATTACCTTGAGCTGAATTATTTATATTATGAATGTTCATATTTTGTGCATTGTCTTGAGCTGAATTATTTATACAAGCTCATAATTGTTAGACGATGGCATTGATTTAAGAGCAGGTTGAATAAATCACTAGTTTTTAATAAATTTAGTTTTAAAAAATTGTTTTAAAATGTGGGGAAGCGGTTTTGAATAAAAAATTGTTTAAACGAACCGTTATTGCTAAGATCGGATATGCGAAATTGAATGAAATAATATTAATGAGATATAGGAATCAATAAGGTTCCTAATCAAACAATTCACAATTCAAATAAACACCACTTCAAATGAACTAGTTTTCAATGCTTTATAGACAATAAAATTGAAGTAATAATTTTATGACCAGTTTGTGTGAATTAATATATCCAACACTTGGAGTGCGAAACATCTCAAGTCCAATTTCTTTTGAAATTGTAGTGCAAAATTTTTCACACTTGCAATCAAAGTGATTGTAATAATTTTTCAAAACAGTTTTAAAGCACTACAAATCAATCAAAATGTTTCTAACAATTGATTTCACACAAAAGTTAACAACGTAAAGTGTGAGTTTTAAAGCACTACAAATCAATCAAAATGTTTCTAACAATTGATTTCACACAAAAGTTAACAACGTAAAGTGTGAGTTTTAAAGCACTACAAATCAATCAAAATGTTTCTAACAATTGATTTCACACAAAAGTTAACAACGTAAAGTGTGTGTGTGTGTATACACACACACACACACACATATATATTATATATATATATATATATATATATATATATATATATATATATATATATATATATATATATATATATATATATATATATATATATATATATATATATATATATATATATATATATATATATATAGAGAGAGAGAGAGAGAGAGAGAGAGAGAGAGAGAGACTCGATTTGTTTAGGCAGTTCCCTTTCGTCCTCGCTTCGGGTATGTCTGCCCCCAATTCTAAAATAGAATTGAGATATGTATAATATTTGTTTGTAAAATTTTGTACAAGAGAAGTCCTAGCTATCACACAATCAAACCTAATTGTTGATGTTGATTCTATCGATTTCTTTTCCCTTGATTCCAGCCGAATGAAGAATATCAAACTCTCTCAACAAACCTTCAATTACCACTACTCACTTGATTGAACCTTTCGTTCTTGAAGTCTTTCACTTGGCTGATTTCGATCACGAGATGTTTGACCCCAAATCTTTCAATACAATCCTTCGGTTATCGCTATTTCCTTGATTAAACCCACCGTTCTTCAAGGCTTTCAGTCGGCCGAATCTGTAATGGAAAGATTTGTGAAAAAATCCTCAAATCACCAAGATCTTGGAGGATAAAATCTCAATGGTTTTACTGAAGAGAGTCCCACTGATTCTCAACCCAAATAGATACAAAAATTCTACGTTTGAACGTTATCACTCTTGAACAAAGCACAAATCAATAAAGATGATTATGTGTGATTATTGATGAATGCAATTTGTGAGAGTGAAGATGAAGTGCAATGTAATGTATCTTTCAATTTTCTTTTTGATGTACAAAATGATGCATATGAGAATATATATGAGCATAAAAGAATAACAGAAAAAATAGACTTTGGGAACACAAAGATACATAAAAATGAGTAAAAACGAGCAAGAGGTCGACCTACAGAAGCCATGAGTCGATCTGAACAAGACAAAATACAAATCTGCACACAAAAGAAGACTGTGCGTCGACCTGTAGCAAGGTCGTGCATCGACGCATAAGGCCAGAAAGTTTCAAATTTTTTTCTTACAGTATGCGTCGACCTACAAAGGAGCCACGTGTCAATGCATACATGGAAGAGACTTTTTTTAACCTTTTTCATACCACTGTGCGTCGAACCGAAGAAGTCCTGGGTCGACGTAAGCATGCCAGAACATTTCAAACATTATTTTCATTGATTATGAGTTTACCTGTAACCTATGTGAGTCGACTTAATGCATCAAAAATGACTGAAAACTAATTTTAGACGTAGAGTA